AATGTAGTGTTTGTCCCGCCCCTCCTCCACTGTGATTGGACGGCTGTGTAAAAAAGGACAGTGACGAGCTCTGCGTTTTACCCAAAGTTAAAGAGTAAAAAACAAAAAATAGACAGAGCAAATTAATCATTAAATATCATTATAATACGTCATAGTGCATAAAAATGCAGTGTCATCAGTTTGTCTAAAAGAATACAGAACGTTTAAATGTTTTATGCACCATTTGCACGTGGTAGGGAGCAGGTGTAAATTTCTTTCGTACAAACTAACATTTTCATGAATCTGAAAATTTAAGTCAGAATGACTTTCCGAATGATTTACACAAAAATTTGTTCTGTTCGTGTTTCATGAATTAGGTCCATTAAATGAATGCCGCTTTATTGGGACAAAAAACCCTCCATACACCTACCCCTAACCCTGATATACTTCATTATTAAACAGTCATTATGAGCATTATTTCCACTTTTTGAATATTTTCTTCATTGAAAGTAAATGCCTTTCTGATCTGACATATGATGGGAAAAGGGAGAAGAGCGAGTCCGGCAAATAGTGGATTCGAACTCGGGTCAATCACGTAAAAAAGCTGCCCCTATGCGCCTTAAGCCTGGAATACACTACACGATTTTTGCCCCGATTTTCTGCCGATTTACAGTCTGGAGATAGCTGATGCTTGTTGCTGAAAGTCAGAGTCAGTCTGCAGATTTGAGTTGACAGATTCCATAGAAAATCGCATAGTGTATGATGGTCACAGACTCCGGACTCAGAGCTTCAGATTATGGGTGCGTCTCAATCAGCTCCCTAGTTTAGTAGTCAGGGCACTGATCAGGAGTCGGCCATTTTAAGGGCTGTCTCAATCGCAAAGTCCTTCCATGCCTTGTCCAAATACCTGCACTTGCGGTCTTTGCACTTGACCACTTGACTACTTATATGACGAATTTCCTGTATTTGGTCCAAGTGTTCAAGTGAGCATGAAGACCACAAGTGTGTAGAACTTTTCATTACCTGATGGGACACACTTAAAGTGTTGTAAAAATGCAAGTGTTTGCATAGCTTTATTTTTATTTCTAATACTTTGCATTTTATAATAAACTTTTAAATGTCTGTTAAGTAGTCTCTATAACAGATGACACAATTACATTTTGTGGTGCTTCTAATTAAGTGATAAAAAGCAGTTGCAAATGTTGTACAAAATAATTAGCACCACTACTAATTTCCACCAATAAAACGTGCAACTCTTTGTTTTACTACCAAATTATATGTATCTCCATGACATGGCGGCGGCAACAACAATACTACAGCGAGGATAAAAGTTACGCCTTCTTTCTTTGCTTGAACATTTGGGCGGTGTTATGCAAATCTTCCCAGATAGTGATGTAGATATGTGGGGGCGTGTTAGAACAAGCCGTTTTAGGTAGGCGTGGCTGACTCTTAACTTTTATAAAGAATATCTCTTTGGATTTGAGACTTTAGTCTTTGCAACTTTACAGATCTTCTTTATGCACCAAGAGCTTGTAACACTCCAAAGAGAAAGGAAAACTTGAAATCGCATCATATGACCCCTTTAAAAGGACTTTGGTTTCTCCCATTCATAGGAGTGCGGGGGCACTCATATTGTAGGTGGTGTATCACGATTTTTCGGTTCGGTTTGAATATCGTTACACCCAATTAATTCAACAGCAAATTCTGCAGATAGATTAAAATGTTAGTATAGAGTATGATTTCTTTCATATTTATACTGTAGGTATTCTGAAGTGTACATGTACATTTTTGTACATTTGGATATAGACATTAAAACTAATGATTTTTTTCTTATTTACAAATCCTTATTAATTAAACAAATGTAATCTTATTTATCTGAAATTCAATAAAATTAGCCTATAAGTCACATTAATTCAATAATCTATAGGACTACTGAATTGATTCACCCAGCAATGAATACTAATAAAATCACTTTCATATTTAATGTATTTATTTAAATTATATATAAATCAACAAAAAAATACACAGATAGATAGATAGATAGATAGATAGATAGATGCATTTATAATCTGCTCAGCGGCTTTACAGGCACAAAGTTTGACATAAATTAGACTTTGTGTTCATTATTGTTAGCCTTTATTGTCAGGGAGGAGTGTGTTGATACACAAGGTATTACTGTATATTGTATGTGTTAACACAATGCTGGTTGAGTAGTGAATTGATAAACCTGCAATTTTCCGTTCAGAACAGGGACGTCATTGTACTTAACCATCCAGTATGTGCAGTATTCGCTCTTTAGATGGTTGTTCATTGTTCCCAGTGATTTACTAAAGAAGTGTTCTGCTATCTCATGCTCAACATAATTACCATAATTATGTGGTATCCATGTTTTTAACAGAACAACAATCCCATTTCTTTTAGTCCCCATGGTAACTGCTAAGTGGTTTGCCCAATACCAACTTAAGAGCTTCTAGAGTGGCAATTTGGGATTTACTTTTACTGTTAAGAGTATAAACTCAATGCTGGCAGGGGACCAGCATTAAATTACAGGCACCCCATGCTGCTCATAAGATCAGATTCTTAATGGTAGCTGCCTGGATGCCAAATTGGAAAAGTTTTAAGGAGCAGATTCATGACTAACCTGTACCCCTTTTGGAAGTTTGCCTTGCCCTTGAATAAACGACAAGACTTGAGTTATGTATAAATGTTCCTTAAGCTCTTCAGGTGTCTTCAGTAATTATTTTGTAAATAACTATAATTTTGGGGTCTCAAACTCAAATTACCTCAGATTAAGATAATGTTTTTTTTACTGGGAACCAGTTGAACAGTTACAACAAACACGTGTAATATGTGAAAATGAAACTATTTTATTTCAGGCAGGCAGGAAAAAATAATGTTGCAAGAGTATGCAGCACGTCATAATAAAACATGACATTGTCATTGAATGCTTATTGTAATGGTTTTGTTGAGGTATGCTGCTCTGAAAAAGTCCGGTGATATGTGCTGGTCCAAAATTGCTTCCTGCACAGTAAAAAAAAAATAATAAATTTCGAAGTTAAAAATATTAACTTGAAAACAAAGGTTATTGGAGTATGTTTTACAAGAAGATGCTATTTCAGTCTTTCTACTTCAAAATGCCATGTTTAATTCATTGTGTTACTTGCCATTTCTTGGTAATTAATTGTGACATTTACTAGCAATTTCTGAGTAAAAAAATGTTTCCACACCAACTTTTTTTTTCAGTGTATTGTTTATTTAATCAACTATGTGGCAAAGGGAATAGTGAATTAAACAAGTGTCATAAATGAACTGTGTCATAAATGAATTGAACGTGATTAGATAAAAATTACGTGTACTGTAAAATAATGTCAAGAAAACATCTATTTATTGAGTTGTCACAAGCTGCACACAATAATATTGTGGCCAGTCCGATTCGTGAACAAGTGACTCTTATGAACAGAATCTTTGTAGTGAATCAAAAACATACAGTACTTTAGTTGGTGCTTGTAATGAATTGTTCAAAAAGACTTGGTATTTGGAATGAATCAGGCAAATCCTTCAATGAATGAACTCACTAAATCCATCAGAGCAGTTACTGAATAAACATCACCTAATCAAATCGGGAAATGTGTACCCAGAAGGAGTAATAAACCATGCTGCCATAATCCAATTAACTGCACAAAGAACTGAATTATGAAAGATAAAATAAATACAAACCTCCCCCTAAAGAGTAAATGAAAGGAACAACTTATCCTCAAACCTTCAGTGAACTGCCACAGTTTGCTCAGAAACTCAGTTTTCCATGTCTAATGACGATTCCAGAGATGCTAACTTTGTCCAGCTCTGGCTCTCAATAAATTTTTCTCACTTCATTTAACCTGGCTGCTTATGTGCTTAAAATGTCAACACATAGGTTCTAGTCCATTTCTCTTCTGTTTCACCTAGTCTTCTTGTTAAAAAATTCTGTCCACTTTCTGGGATGTACAGTTAGGGGCCCATCTGTGAGGTGTGAATGGAAAAGCTGTCAGCAAGATGTGTT